GGATATCTAGTTCAGATTCAACTTTAATTCTTTTTCAAATGTTTTGTTTTTATTTTCCTCTTGAATGAAAGCAAGTTGGCATTGTAATTTTGAATCCAAGTAGTTATTTGATTTCTCAAAAGTCTTCATGATTGTTGACAATTTTTAAAGATCAACTATTTACAATACTGTTATTTACCATTCGAACTAGAGGAGTGCATTTATAATATAGAAATCATTTGTATTTGGAGTCCTTCAATTCATCAGCATAGAAATTAATTCCATCAATTGTTAAGTTGGCACAATCGTTGTGCAACCAGCCTGCGTAATTGTTGCACGTAATGCTGTAATTGCTTTTTTATAACACTCTAGCATTTTATGCATCACATTGTGAATGTTATGTTATATTAGGAAGGGAGTGTTAATACACTGCGACCTAACAGATCTATTGTGCCCCTTCTGTCGCTAATCCAGCAAGGAAATGTCTCTTCCAATCCTATCTTCTCAAGGCTTCAAGTTAGGTAAATCTCCCTCTTTTATTTTATATGCTTCTAGGCGTGATTCTGGAGTGCTACACATTCAGTCAGAATATGAATGGAGGTATTGTCTTCCTTCTAGCAGAATCTGCACTCACTATCTTCTACTACTCTCAGTTTACCAAGGTGTTCTTTGAGTATGGATCCCCGTTACAATACGTAGCCTGTTCTTGCTCTGGTTGATACAGGGGCTTTCGATCGTTTCTGGTTATATTCGCCCAGAAGTATCTTAGTCTGTTTTAGCTCCAAGAGATTGTTCCAATTATCGGCAGAAAGGCTCAGATCCCACAAAGGGTGTTTGAGCCCCTTTCCTTGCGAGACTATCTGCAATCTTGTTACCTTGTACCCCTTTTTGTCCTGGGACCCAAATATGAGTAACTGCATTTTCTTCGCCTAGCTAATTAAATTTTTCTAGATATCTCCAAACCATTTTTTAGCTGATTATGTAGGAGCTCAGTTATCGGACGATAAACTAGATACACTGCTCGATGGCGTGAATTTCTACCTGGAAGATGCTTGGATATTTTTCCAAACTTTCAGAGTGCCTAGTTCTAGACTCATACACTCCTATTTGTTTCTTTTATGGTTTTGGAATCATCTTTATTTCACTGAATAGCATGTCTTTCGGTTGCAAGAAAAATGGATTCTTGTCTCCATTCTTTCTTGCAACCCAGCTCTGTACTTCTTTTTCATTTCATCTTGGAGCATATCTCAAGAATAATCGGTCCTGAGGCTAATGGACTTTCGTCTGATTACTCTGTTCCTGATCATTCTATATCGTGTCCTTTCTGTCAGTCACATTTTCTATCATTAAATGTAGAGGGGTGAGGTTTAATATCACCTCCATTGCGGCCGTAGAACAGGTTCTCATTTCACCGCTGATGCAAACACATGTTAGTCTTTATACTTTTGCGATATTAGCTATTGTAAGAGCTAAACTAGTTCTGTTACTCCAGGCTATAGCTCCGTAAATGATGATTGGTCTCACTATTGCAGTATACATCCATCGCAGTGTGTTCGTTTACCCGCAATGTTTCTGCATAGTGTTAGGACTTTTGTAACCTTATTTACTACTTCCTTTTCATGTAAGTTCCAGAAAAGTTTGTCCACCCAGGCCAGGCCTGGATATTTACCTTAATTTTTCCATTCTATATCTATCCAGTCTAATTTGAGGGTTTTGAGATTGGGTTTTCTTTTCCTTGAAAAAGCTACTAGTGTTGTTTTCGTGGGGTTTATACTTCACGGCACCATCTTTTGGTATGTTCTAGTCCTCTTTGGACTATATCGCACAGGATATTTCTAAACTTGCCCCTAGCCAATATGACTGGTGTTTGCTCGTTTCGTCCGTTCCCGTTTCGTCCGCTAATAAAATTATACCTCTTTTGACCCTTTTTATGCTCGATTCGTCCGGTGAAGTAAAACCCTACTTAATGAGTTATCGTTTCGTCCGCTAGACATAATTTTATTAATAAGACTGGAAAATTTAATTTTTTCAAGTCTATAATTGTTTACAAAGGTAAGAATACAAATAATACGATTATAGGTAGTTGCTTGAATTTTACGTTAATCTGAAAATCTATCAACGCACAAAATTTTAATTTTCTTTGGTAATATATTTTGGAAAATAGGAGTGACTAAGGCCCTATCGCAATATAATTAAAACAAAATTAAACTATTACTACTTAATGGTTTCAATTGATTCTTAATGTTCTAAAAAATAATCCCGGTAATGGTTAAACCTTATTATTACTACAATTTTCAACATATTAACTACTTAATTACCCAAATTTACTGAGAAAAAATCTAATGATTAAATATTAACTCAATAATAATAATAATTGCTCTCACTAAGGAGGATTATGCATTTAATGTGTTTCTATTAATGTAATTCAGAAATATATAAGTAAGTTCATTCAAAAATAACGTATCATTTGATATTGCGTTCGTGTTGAATACTGTATTTATTGTGTGTGATTTAAAAATTGAGCTCATCGAATCTAAGAGAGGCAAGCCTGTAATTTTATGTCTGGGGCATAAATATAATGAGAAAGAGATTTACAAAAATTCACAAATTTTGTGGGGCTGTTCGAACAGAAGTTGTACCGGTTCAGTAACTACGAATAATGATATGACAACACTTTTAAAATGTAAAGAGCATTCCATTTGTGCACCTGACATAGCTCAGAATAAAGTGCAAGTTTGCATTTTTAATGCCAAAAAAAGAGCACACGAAGAATGTGGTCCTGTTACACAAATTTATAAGAAAGAAGTAACGAAAAATGTGAAGAATAAAGGACTTGATTTTGTTACCACAGTGCCCATATTCAGTTCTGTCAACAAACAATTGTATTCTGCTCGACAGAAAGCTTTAGGGATCGAAATACTACCAAAAACCCGAATGGAAATTACAATTCCTGAAAAAAAAAAATCTATTTTTTGACTGCAAGAGTAAAGATAGAATTTTAATCTTTGCAAATGAGGCCGCATCATTACTAAGGCAAGGAAAAGATTTTTTATTCCAACAACTTTATGTTATTCACATGGATATGGGAAGTACTGAGGAAAGAACTTGTGTTGTCTCGATTATATATGCCTTGTTCCGGATAAGAGCGAAAAGACACAACAAGACTTTTTACAATTTTAAAAGAAAAAGTGCCTGCATTCAAACCAGTAGAGTTCCATCTGGACTTTGAAAAAGCTGCCATTAACGGAATTATAAAAATATTTCCTGAAGTGAAAATAAAAGGTTGTAATTTTCACTTCAACCAAGCACTCTGGAGGAAAATTCAAGAGCTTGGACTTTCAGTAGAGTATAGAGAAAGAGAAGACGTAAGGCAGCATTTGAGAATGTGTGCTGCTCTGGCACATTTACTTCCCCACCAAATTGACAAAGGTTGGTTGAAAATTATGGAAAACTCTCTAAATATGGAAAAGATAATTAAATTTAACGATTACTTTGTTAAAGAGTGGGTAAACTCTCAAAAATATTGGGTGTGTTTCCGCAGTCGCCATCGAACCACAAACGTCGCTGAAGCTTGGCACAGTAGACTGAACAAAAAATGCTTTTTTGTCCATCCAAATATATTTGAGATAATTACTATCCTGCATGACGACTCCATTCATTATAAGATAATTATTAAACAATATGAGCTAATGCCGACAACACCAAAAAAGCTCAAAAAATATTGTGAATTGGATAGGAGGATCGAGAACACTATCACCAAATATGTTGAGAAAACTATTGATTTGCCAGAAACGCTCCGACGATTGACATACATTGCAAAATATTAATAAAATAACTACAACAAGTCAGCATGCTGCATAAAACTTTGTATGTATATATTTTTTTAGACAAGCTCATATTTGAATCGCAAACATTTTTAAACACGCCAATATATAAAATGTATGCATTATATAGAAGGCTAAGACATTTCATTTTATAAATTGCCAGTCCTAAGCCTTGATAAAGTGTGAAAGAAAATTTATATTCTTTTTACCTACTTACCTGACATCACCGAACGAAAGGAGAATATTTAAGTACCCTTGATAATCTTAATTTAACGACCGGTCGAAAGGAGAATTTTTCGTGCAACGGACGAAACGGGAACGGGCGAAACGAACCAACGCCATATGACGGTGTGTCATCGGCATAACCTTAACAATTCAGAATATTATTTAAATATTAATCCTACCTCGTATATTTTATAGAAATATTGGCACGATTTTTTATCTTATAAGCAATGCAATAGGGCCACTTTTTCACTATTCTTGTTTTTTACTTGGATCTTAAGATTTAGTTTAATAGATAAGATTACAATAATGATTTTTCTTATTATATCGATTTTGTACTAAACAACTGTCTAAAAACTGGTTTTGCTAGTATTCAAAATTATTCAGGTCGCATTTAAAATTTAAATTTATGGACCTCTATTATTTTTGTTTTAAATTAAATGAGTTAACGAACAATTAATAAAAATTGACACAGCATCCACTAATTACTATTTGAGGGTATAAATTTGCATCATAACACCAAAATTAAGTTAGGATCTATACCGAAAGTGCCCACTAAATGAATTATTTAACACTTAACGAAAGCTATCGAATTGTCAACTCTGTATAGGGTAGATGAGCGTAAATTTGCCAGTAATCTAATAAGGGACCTAAGCGTGCAAACAAACTTGATGAAGCTGTCGAGTTATCAGAACTGGAATGTTTAATGTCCATATTGTATTCATCATGAAGAAGAAATTTACTTTTCTCAAAAGTAAATAGTGAAGTTTCCGAATTTACGGGAAAAGTTCAATTTGCATCCATCCTTAAAACTTAAAAAAATAAAAATGTTTTATTTGTATTAATTTAAAGCCTCAATGTCCAATTTCTTGAAACGAATATTACCTAGTACTGTTTAGTTCTTTACGTCAAAATTTATTTAAAATAAGTCAGTTATTTAAAAATATAAAATAGAATCAATAAATATTAAGTTACCTTAACACCACAATAATTCCATCAAAAACATTAAAACCATTAGAAATATATCCAAAGGGTCCTTCCGCTATAACTTTCAATACCATTTCAACAGCAAATATAGCAGAAAATATAATATTAGTAACTTCCACACCTTGGGTCAGTATATCGGATTGCTTGTGGTGTTCAATTCCCATGGATAGAGTATTTATTAGAATCGCTAAAAGTATTCCATGCTGAAAAAGTTTGTGTTCTGCTATGATTTTGATTTTCTTTCTCAACACTTTTAACAAATTTATAAATCCTTTCACAATCAAACAACAGAAAATATAAAATTTGGAACGTTTCTCATTGTTGTATTCTGATTCGCAATGCCACAAGTCGTGACAGCAAGAAAAATCATCATCAGGTAACTGCTGTAAATAATTATTTTCGGGATCTTTCCTTATTCCTTTGGAAAGAGAATTCAGAAATGTATCTAATAAAATTTGGCCTGTGGATAAAGCTGCATTAATTGCTCCAATCGCTAGTAACTCTTGGCACGTCAATGTTTCACCATTCATTATGTTATTGCAATCCTGTAGGATTTGTTGAGTTTGAATTTGTTGATTAGATGAGTCTGATATTTGCCAGATATTACCATCACCTAAAATAAATAATTACAAAATGTAGTAAACTAATTGTGTGGAATACTTTACATAAAAAATTAACTTTAAAATAATTAAAGCAAAACTTGTTCGTATCTCTGTAAAAATCTAATAACGCATAATTTATCAAATACTTAGATATATGTATTTTTGTTTCAATAAATTAAGAACAAAAAAATTTACAAATTATTCTTAAGCTAACAAGCTAACAGTTACATTCATAAAAAAGGACAAGAAACAGAGGAAGTAACAATCTTCCAAGCTTGGAAATGTTCAGCTATTGATAGTTGTGGTTTACGGTTAGGGTTCGGCTTTGGGGCCCGACTGTTCAGCTCGAGATATCGGATTGGGGTCAAACTTGATATGGGATATATTATTTCATAAATATGAAAATCATATAAAAAAGGCCCAACTCAACTCCCTAGCTGATATAGAGGGAGTGTCACCCTCAAAAAATAAAGTTACAAATTTTTCAATAATACTGTTGGAATCTACGATTTTTTCTATATAGAAACAAAAAATGTGTTTTGGACTTTTGGGAAATGTTTGACATGAACCATCAGCAGATCCAGACATGTAAATAGTTACAGAGGAGATACAAATCTCATTTTTAGCACATTTATAATTTTTTAAATAAAAAAGCTGGAATTGGACTGTGAAAATGTTTCGACTTGAATCGTCATAGTTCGGATGTGAGAAAAAAAAAATGAAGTTGGAAGTTGGATCCTATGAATTTCTGGTTGGTCGTCCTCAAAAACTTTTTAAATCTTGCCAGTTTCTTTTTTGTGATGTCACTGTGGTCTCTGTAACTTTTATTTCCTGGTGGTGCTGGGTAATCGTCAGGTGCTTGTCCAAACAAGCTTCATGAAAATATTCATTTTATCTCTACTGTAACATTTTTAATTACTAGGCCCTAAACTATGTTCAGGTCGAACAATTTTAAGCACAAAGAAATTTTTTAATAGTTTAATAGTATACATAATATTATAAAGAAACTGTTTTGATTAAAAGTTTCTTATTTTATTGTTTGAGAATTCCACCACTTCCATCTAGGGGATGATGAAGGTAAGTACGATGTATATCAGGTCTATTTTAATTTAAAACAAAAAATAATAGGATTTTTTCTCCTCTGTAATTATTATTTTTAAGTTCCAGCACCGTAACTGGATTAGCCGGCCGATGCACACGGCACTTGTGCTGAAAGTGCAAAAGGGTAAGGTCACGTGACTGCCGTTTGACCTATTTTGACAGACTCATGATTTCAACAGTTCAACAGCTGTATCAAAAGTTTGTGATTAACATTGTTGTTTCCAACGACGATCTTCATTATTTTGTTCAGGCGACCTGAGCGGCGCCCTGGATCTGAATCTACCATCATCTCCACCGGATACCTATGTACGTACCAACGTGGGACAATCAGACAAGCTAGCTGTATTTTTAAACTTTCTAATATTGCGTTTTAAACGAACCGGTGTTTTTGTTTCGTTTTCTGTGTTCCGAACTTATATTTTGCTTCTACGGTTTTATTTGTAATATTGTTTATAATTTAGTATTTAGTAGGTATAAGGGTCTCCTTTGTAAGGAGTTAGAGTTAACAAAATCTCCTGGAGAAGGACTCACGTTTACTTTAAATAAAATTTACTTCAAGGTTAAAATTGTATTTCTTCCTGAAGTAAAAACTCTACAAAATCTATTATTTAGTATCACTTGCTATCACTACTTTGACTTAACCTAACGAGTAAATATTTTAATAAAATACCTGCTTGAGTTGTCTTTTCGCTTGAGCAAACATTTTTCTTGTGCGTTGATGCAGTATTATTTTGTCCATGAAGAATGATAATGTCGCTAAACATCACAGAAGATCGTCTCCTATTATTGAGAACATAAGGTGGAGAAAGCAGATTTGTTGAACTCTGAAAACAAAGCAAATTATTTAATGTACATAATATGTTTAAATTATTGAAATTTAAAGTGTTATGAGTACAAATTTGAAGAAATATTTAAAATACCACAAAATAATCTAGAAATGTGATGGCGTCAGTTTTGGGATGCGATAGGAATTGGATTGATAAATGTTTATTTTGAAAATAAAGTCGTATTAGTCTATTTATTTCATCTCGAATGTTACGAGTGGTGGAACACTTGAGAAACTAATAAGAAAATGGAAGAATATTACTCAAAATTTTTCAGAAAACATACCTAACAATTAAGATAAAATGATTTTAATCAATCACGAAAATAATGTTCTTTCGTAAAGATTTATAAAAGATTTATTTAGTTGCATCACTGATTTCAATGATCATAATCGTCGTCTTCTGCTTTATTACTCTTTCTCATCACCACTTTAGGAATAATCGAATTATTATCCCATTTGAATCTAATATTCGAATACTAATAAAGTTGGTTATTTAGGGTTAATCCAGCCTTTTAGGGACGCTATTATCAATTAGAATGGTCAAATGGGGAATTTAAGCTAGACATTAAAATTAATTATTATAGTCATGAGATGAAAAACTGTCAAATTAATTTTAAATGTCTAATTAAATTAAACTATAGTATATTATGCAACGATCATGTAATGATGGTTATTAATACACGAGCATTAACCGGGATACGAAACGAGCCAAAGGCGAGTTTCGTATGGTTTATGCGAGTGTTTTAATAACCATTACATGAGAGTTGCATACGCTATTTTTTCTACACCCGATAAATAATCAAGACCTATAAATATTCTATTTATATTGGCATTGAACACAATAACAGTAATTACTCGTATTTCTATAAAAAATTCTACAAAATTGTAATTAATGGTATTACCTTGGGTATTGGTATTACCACAGATTTTTGGGGCAAAATATTTTGTACTGCATTTTCTCCTTTCTCCGATATGTGTGGAGGAGTCTTCTATATCGCTGATATCAGACATTTTAATATTATAATTATCGAAGTTTAGCTATCTACGAAAATTTAATACGTTTTGACAACTAAAACAATTACATAGGAATTTAGGACAAACGTCAAACATCATGCTTGATTGAAAAATTGTAGGTTTCTATTGATTAAAAATCTGTATCATAATGAAAAATCTGTATCATAATGGGTATCATTATGAAACGGATTATGGGCATATAAGTGCATTATTATAATACGGGTGTAGAAAAAAATAATTAAATTAATTTTCGATAGTAATACTAAATACCATTATTTTTTGTTTCCTAACTATATACGAGTAGGTGATCAATTTGTCAGCGATTTAATCAGATTCATTATACAGTTACGAATACTTCATTTTAAAGATTATACAGAGTTACATAGTAATATTCATCAAGGATTCGCAGCGAGTATCTGAATGAGTTAACATCGTTTGTTTCTTGCTCCACAGTTTGTGTAATCTAACAGTGACACCGAGTGAAAAGTATAAATTGTTTTTACTACTTTTCCTATGTAATGAATATTTTTATATATTTCATTGAATACCTCTGTGATTATAATCTTAATTTTTGCGTTTTGACGGACCAAAGGCTGATAAGATCCAGTTTTTTGCCTTCTTCTCGCCGTTTGAGGGGCATAGCAACCAGATATACGTTATGAATGCGATTTTGGTTCACAACAATTTCCTTTTGAACACAAAAAAAATTCATCAACGATACAACAAACTCAGCTGCTTTTGACTACAAGGGCAGCGATACTCAATACAGTTCGCTCAAAATTTCCAATTTCCAATTAAAAATCGAGCAATTGTATTACACGCTGATGAAAACCTCAAGCTACGTGAATACGCAGAAAACGCCCTAAAATATCTTGACCTACTTCTTGCTTCCTCAATTTCTTTTCTTAGGGCCGGTATTCCCGGAGACAAATTCTTTCACATCCTAAGCTTTCGACGACAAGTTTATGTTTATTCTAATACAGAATAGTTGCAAACATACCTTAATATTTCTAATGACGAAAATGAAAACAGAATCTTCCCTTCACCGACAAAATTAAATATTTCATCTGTAAGCAGTCAGAATATATCGTATCCAACTACCCCAATCCTTCCCCGTTCTTAAGCAACTCACAACTTGCCTCAAATAAAGCTCTTCCTCCTCCAGACTCTCTACCTGATTAACATCCCCTTATTCAAACAACCGCAATATACTTACCAACACCCACCGAAACAATCCAAGCCTCTCCTACACAAACTCCGAGACCAAAACGTGGCCATTTTGAAATTTTTATTTTATGTAATCAAGTTGTCCAATAGACTATCCCGATAAAAAATCAAGATAGTTTTAACATAATGCCCCCCCTTTAGGACACCCTTAATTCTTCAAATAAAAAAAAAAGAAACGCAAAATAAAAAACTTTCAAGAATCTAATCCGTCAGAAAATAAAAAAAAATCTATTCAAGATACGTATCAAAAAAATGAAAATTGTATACTTTCAATAGAAAGTATTTTTGTTTTCCTAGAAAACACATTTGACGGTGCCGATCCATATAATGAAGCGCTAAAGTTCACTAACGCCGTTCAATCTTTGGTCTTAAACTTAAAAGTCATTATACAAAAACCTCAATGAAAAATATATCAAGAACAGAGTTACTCGCCTAACGAGAAAACTTAATGATGAACTAGATGCAGAAAACGCCGAATTAGCAAGCCTACCTAGCATAGCATCTTCCGCTGAAACTAGTGACGAATAGTCCATCTCAGATAAATCACATATGTCCCAAAACTTCCAAAAAGTCCTCATATTAGCTCAATTTGAACTCTCTTTCTTTTATTTAAATTCAAACTAATACAGGCGAATTGTGATTAAATCCATGCTGTAACACATCTAACAATTCATTTCTGATCTACTTCCTGACTTCATATGTCTACAAGAGACTAATATTAAAAAAACTAATAATCCATCTTTTAAAAACTTTGTCGGCTACCACTACCTCAAAACCACACACCTATGCGCAAGTGGTAAATCCTCCATATTTGCATCTTATGATATATTATGATAAGAATTTCCCCTGAATACCAGTTTGAAAGTAGTCGCTATAGCCGCATGGTGTTCAGGTCCACAAAACATTCTAATTTGTAGTATATACTTACCCCCCAATTACGAGATTATACATCTACTCAATCAACTTTCAGTTCCATTTATCATGGTTGGGCACTTTAATGCACATAGTACAGTATGGGGATCAGAACGTACTTTCAGTAAAGGAAAAATGATTGAAGACATACCGAATACGTCCAACGTTAATATACTTAATACAAGAAGTAGCACACATTTCAATATATCGTCTGGAACCTTTTCCTCAATTAAGATTAACATCTCTGACCCTATATTTGTCCTTCTACTTATATGGCACACTCTCGACACCCTATACGACTGTAATAATTTTCCCATTATTATCAGTGATAACGAACTAAAGCAAAATCGTCATTAAATAAAAAATTTCGCAGGCAAATTGGACTCTTTTCAGCCAAGATTTGAAACACCAAACCAACTTGAATTCTCCAACAATATAGCGGTCAATCAATTCAACAAATACATAATCTCTTCCTCAGAAAAATGCATCGTAAAATACAATTGCAACTTCTCCAAAAAAAAAAAAAAATCGTTTCGTGGTGGAATAATGCCTGCCAAGAAGCTGTAAACGAGTGCAAAAAATTAACAAACTTCGCAGAAGAAAAAGCGAAAAGATTTAATTTATTTTAAAAAGGTGAAAGTCATTTCCAAGCGCACCATAAAAGAAAGCAAAAAAGATTCATGGAACAAAGTGAAGCAAATGCGTGGTCATAAAACTAGTAACAAAATCTTGGCCCTCATTCACCATAACAGAATAGTTACAGACGACCAACATATTGCCAATATCCTTGCAAACTACTATAAAGAAAAATCCCAATCCAACAAGATCTTTTCAAATACCCCACCTCACACTCCCTACATAACTCTATCCAATCAACTTACCATTTATATACACATAACTTCATGTTGCCCTCTCATCTACCAAAAACTCAGCTTCAGGTCCTGACTACGTTCCAACTATATTTCTCAAAAATCTTCATCCAGGAACTGCTCGAACTCTATAATAAAATATGGTCTACTTAACAGTTTCCAACAATATGGCGCCAATGAATCGTCCTCCCTACCAAAAACATCGATAAACCGTCCACCCTTCCAAGTGAATTCAAACATATTTAATTGATATACACTCTGTGCAAACTTCTTGAGAGGATGATAAAGAAACGCCTACTCTGGTATCTTGAAAAACGCAACATTCTAAATGCTGCACAATTTGGCTTCAGATCAAATCGCTCTTCAATGGATAATCTTGTCGTTCTCCAAACATAAATTGTAGAATCTCAAACTAATTAAAGTGACGTCATCGCCATAATGATTAATATTGAAAGTACCTTCGACACCATCTGGAGACCAACAGTTCTTGAGAGACTAAAAGAAGTAAATCGTACGGAGAACGCTTTCTCATTCTTTCAAAGCTTTCTCACCGACAGGACTATTACAGTTTCTACAAATAGAAAAATGTCTGGTATTCCACATATGTTCATATATTCAAAATAAAGTAACGCAAGGCTTAATCATTAGTACCATCCTATTCCTTCTAGCCATCAACGACATTTGCTCCCTTGTGCTGATGACCTAATACTTGTATACACCGGAAGCACATGCGCCTTAATCTAAAAGGCTCTAGGCAATATTTTTTCAGTGGACTACAAGAACAGGATTCAAGCCGTCGCTTTCCAAATCCAAAATAATCCAATTTATAAGAAGACGAAACATCCAGACCTCCATACCACATATCTGAATGGAGTTCGTTTACAAGTTGTTGACCATCTCAAATTGTTAAGAGTAGTATTTGACAAAAGGCTCACATGGAAACATCATATATAAGAAACGAAGGGAAACTGTTTAA